GCTGAGTTGCCTGACTGCGACAAGCTTTTGTCGTCTCCTTTTTTGAGATTTTTAGCCCATTATCTGAGGTTCAATAGTTAATTTATCTACGTAGATAGATAGAGAATTTTGTGCTCTATCGATCTCATTCTGTGAAAAATAGGTTCAAAACTTAGGTTTTATTGGATTTGTCAGTTTTTGCACAGATAAATTTTCTTTTAAGACTTAACTGTAAAATTTCGAAAAATATGTGAGAAGATGCAGACTTTTCCGGTAAATCTTCTGGTGTTTTCAAAATTCTTATGAAATCTGTTTTTGGATCAAGACAAATGGTTTTCTATTTTCAGTGTGTCGCAGTTCGACAACTTAGCACTCTTCAATATTATGAATAGTGCACAAACGACAAAACTGTTATCAGAGATTCAAATAGCAAGTTTTGTAGAGAATTCAATTCTCTATCAATTGAGCTTAGAACCAACTGTGGACTACCGGACAATGCCTCATGAACAGCGAATGAAAGTGTCCGATTTTATCTGGGCCACCCGATAGTACTAAAGTGATAATTGAGAAAATGTTACTATTTTTTTCTAATTATTTTTTACAACCATTCGAAACAAAAAGCATTGTCTTTTCTAAATTGAATCGTATGATCACATGTAACTATCAATCTGTAGAAAAGTTTTAGTCACGAAGGCTGAGTAAAGTTACATTAGATATGCCTTCCAAAAAAATAATAAATAAAAAATATAATGGAGCAAATTTTATTTAAAGATGTTTGATTTGGTACAAAACTCACAAGGAAAACAGTCGATAACAACAGAATTATTAAGATTAACACAACAGTTACAGCAGTCCTACCATTCTAAATTTACATTAAATATCGAATATTTCCAACCTATTTGATGTCTGTACAACAGAAGTAACATAGCTTAATTTTTAGACAGTTGAATGTTTTTCATTTGATTGAACAAGTTGATTCCCATCACTAACAGTAATCCACATATAATGTGTCGGATCAATAAATAATCATCAATGATTGATTAATGATAAAAGTTCTCAAGCGACTTAAGAAAAAACCATTGAAAACACCATTACGAGTCACTAATAAATGTCAAATAACTTTCATATTCACATCAAACAGATTAATAAGTTGTCGATCATATTTATCAATCTTTACCATCATAACATTGTATCAGTTTGTACATATTTGACTTACGGAAGAATCATCAATTGATTACACTATTTAGTATGGTTGATAACTCCGGTCGATAATAAATGATCGATGTGACCTTTCCGAAATGCATTTTTGAATATAAACAGTTTAATAATAACTTGTACTTGATGGAAGAAAATAACTATTTCTATGATGATCAAGATAGATTACATAGACTATCATCGAAAACTCTTCAATTTGCTTTTATTAATTATTAGATAAAATTAGTTACTATTCTTATGTAGTCAATATACATTGATTGGATGCTTCGAATTTAAATATCCGATAGTCTAACTTTATTTGAAAACATTGTCCATCTCCATGTCTTAGTACTATTATTATTTTTACATTTAATTTTAACTTCTAAATATTATTAACTAAATTATTCATGCTCATTTTTTATTGGTACATAGTATCTAATGGTACTGAAAACGAATTTAAACGTAGAGTATATCAAGTTTTTATCTCAATTGTTATTTGTTTCATATAAATCATTTTGAATATCCGCTTTTTGGTATTGATTCATATATATTAAACATGTTTTTGGACAATGAAGACAACAGACATATTGAAGTGCGTCACATCGGTCATCATCCAAATTCATATGCTAACAAAGAGTCTTCAAACGCTTAGATGCAGAAAATGTAAATGTTCTAGATTAAAATCTAAAATAAACAAAGGAAAAGACATATGACAGTTAGAAAAGGAAAAGAAAATTATTATTGTGCTACAAATGAAACGCTACTGTATTTAATCGCATCAAATTCTTAAAGTTTCATTGTGAGGTGAATACAAAAAATTATTTGCTAGTCTTGAAAAAAGTTTTGCTGATCAGAAGAAAATTTTCATAGCTTTAATGTCTCCTAACAATCGTATCAATATGAGATGACATGAAAACAAATCAGATTTTTTAAAAATAGTTGCACACTCACTATTCATTGATATTCTATTTAAAATGAAGTAAAAAAAAACCTAACCAAGATGGTGATCAAAACATTCTTCTGATCTTTAACTTACTTATGCAATAAGAAATGATTTGAGAAAAAACACAATCCAAAACAATTTCTCTATAGCAAACTGTCTACATTTTGTTTATTTTCTAATCAACAATGAAGCGAGATAAGAAATATAACAAAGTAACAAAAAAAAGAATACATGTAAGTATATATAAAAATTGTTCAGGAAGTAGAAAAAGACGAAAACGAGAGAAATGTAAGATATTTCGAACATAAACAAAGAAATACATCTACTCTTATCACTTTTTTGTTACAGCAACTAAACTGATCATTCAATTATACAAACTCCACCAACAGCTTCAAGTTTTGCTTTCATTGTTTCAGCATCAGCTTTACTTAAGTTATCTCGTAATACTTGTGGAACAGCTTCAACCATTTTCTTCGCCTAAAACAAAAAAAGCATTCATCCACTATACTTAGGTATTTTCATCTCTCTCATTGTGTAGTAGATCATACCTGTACTAAATTAATATTTTCCACAATATCTTTAACTTGTTTAATAACTGGTACCTTTTTTGAATCATCATATTTGATCAGTCGAACTTTGAATACAGATTGAGCTGAAGGACGAACATCTTCTTCTTCCTCTTCTTTTTTCTAAATAAAATAAAAAAACATATTTATTTCATTTAAGAAAAATAAAACAAGCATACCGCTGTTGGTGAAGCTGTAGCAGAAGTCGTTCCCGCACTCATAATAGATACATCTTGGATTTTCAACGTTTTCTATAATAACCATGAAACATGAACGGAGAAAAAATTCAACTTTATCCATGATATAATTACTTTTAATAATTCATTGAGATCCATAACATCTACTAATGATAACTTGCCTATTTCATTAACTAAGTATTGAATTTTCGATGAATACACTTTTTCTTCTTCAGTAACACGTGATGTAGGTAATTTTTCTCTAGTCTCAACTGTTTGCGTAGGTTGCTGAACTTGGGATGTTTCTTGTATTGTTTCAACATCACCTGCTTTATCTTTAAGTTTTTNATTGAAGCTTAGCAGCATTCAGTTCCGTGAGCATTTTCCTCTTTTTCTTTAATGTAACTCCACAAAATTTTGACCAAGAGTCGCGCACAGAAGTAGCATTTTGCTTTATTTGTTAATAATTCTGTTGATGTTCCATGTGTGGCTAATGGTGTCGCTTCAACAGTTCTTGTCTCTTTATCTGTTGTGAGTTTTGATTCTTCTTCAGAAGATTTGCTTTCCTTTACTTTTGTTTGAGATGCCGAAGCCGTTGTTGCAGACCGTAAAATAAACGATGTTTGGTATAAAGAAGTGGTTACAGACCTAAAATAAAACACTTAATTACACTTTTATTGAATCCCTTTAGACGTTATGAAAAAATGAGTCTTTTATCTAAGTAAAACCATGAGTAAAACAATTTTCAGAATTTCTTTTTTCCTGTCCTCCTTATTTTTCGCATCAAATTAAATTCAGAGAATACGGCTAGTCGTATTTAGCTACTAAGCGATACTTAAACGGAGTATATATGCAATGTTCTCCTATAGGGAAGAATGGGAACAAATGATGATATCTGAGCCGTACAAGTTCTTTTTCAGGTAAAAGTCTGCACAGAATTTAATATTTCGTTTCACATACCATGTTGGTAAACGACTAAGATTGCTAACAAGATTCGGACGTAATAAAGCTAGTAAAATATGACGCATTATCCAAAAGTCTAAAATAAAATGTAGAAAAAGAACACTGTTCATAATTTAGAAAGATGATCAGTTTACATAATCATTTCAGACTTCAATATAAGTAAGTCAAGCTGCTTCCTTAACATATCTCGCGAACGCTTTTGTCGTTGCTGCTTTTAATTCATTTATTTCGCTTGCATATAAGCGATGTGTTTTTCAACGGAGGAGAAATAAAACAGGCAGGTTACAGTATGATAGCACTAGAAGTTATTTTAGACCTGTGCTGAAGTTCAATTGTATCTTTTTATTCTCATTGGTCTTATTTTTTTCGTTCTGTATCTCTTTTATCCAAGGGAAAAGGAGATCACATAAAAGATGGCTGACAGAATTTATAACGTTCCGATTCATACCAGTTCAGTGTATCTTCATCCTTCAGGCATAACATAATATAATTCGCAGCAGACAACTGCAAGCCAGACACTTTTGCAATATCATATCAGTTGCAATCTTCTTTTTAATGCAGGATAACTATTCAAATAGGAAGTATAAATATATAGAGCCATTGCACGTAAACCACGACCTATTACAGCGGAGTAGCCTTCAATCGATGTTCTCAAAACTTTTCCAAAGTAGGGGGCTCTTGTAGACCAAACATTTTAATGAATTTTGATAAAAGGCGCAAATCAAGAAGTTGTATCGTTGCTGAGATATTGATATTTTACGAAACGCCCCGAA